TCCTCTGCCCAGAGGCAAAAGAATATAGATTTTGGAGTCAGGAATATTTTTATTTAAATATCGGCTGACTTTCCCACTAAGTAGAGTTATTAACGTGAGCAATCAATGAAAGGTCAGATTGATTATTGTTGTTATTATAGCATATTTAAACATCTTTATAGTTCTCAGCATAAATAGGTGCTCAGTAAAAATTAAGTACCCTTTCTTACTGGTCATCTCTTCTTCACTTGCCACGGTCATGTTTCATAGGTCAGACGTTTAAAACTTTATGCCTCAGTGAAACCTTTTAAAATGTATCTGGTCAGAACTTGTTTTGCCCTCCTTTATGTTTTCTTGATAGTTTATACCACTTAGAATACAATACAATTTGTCTGTTTCCTTTACCCTATTATGGATTGATTGATCATAGACATTATCTTTTTATCTTTATAGTTCTATGTACCTTGCAACAGGTACATAGATAGGTAATTGTTTGAATTGGATTCTAGGAGAAAGCTACTTAAAAGTTTTCTCCAATTTTCTGTAATGGCTCTGTTGAGATATAATTTACATACCTTATGATAGACTCATTTAAAGTATACATTTTCAGTGGGTTTAGTATATTCAGAGTTGTGTATGTAGCATCATAATTTTATTTTTTTAATTAATTTATTTATTACTTTACAATATGATGGTGGTTTTTGCCATACATTGACATGAATCAGCCACGGGTGTACATGTGTCATCATAATTTTAGAACATCTTCATTGCCCTCTAAAGAAACCTCCTACCCTTTGGCCATCACTGTTCCCTTCCTTCCCATCAAACTGACCATCCTCCTCAGCCCTAGGCAACCAGTGATCTACTTTCTGTCGCTATAGATTTGCCTGTCCTAAGCATTTCGTATAAATGGAATCGTATCATATGTGGTCATCTGTGACTTGCTTCTTTCACTTAGTATGTTTTCAAGGTTCATATTAGCATGCATCAGTACTTTCTTATTGCAGAAAAATATCCATTGTACGGATATACCATACTTTGTTTATCTTTTTATCAGTTGATGAACATTTGGGTTTCTACTTTTTAGCTATTATGAATAATGCTGCTACAGACACTCATGTATATGCTTTTGTGTGGACATACATTTTTTTCTGTTGTGAATATACCTAAGAGTGGAATTGCTGGTAACATAGTAACTCAGTGTTCAACTTTTGAGAAACTGCTAAACTATTTTTGAAGTGTAAGAGGGTTCCAGTTTATCCATGTCATCAATACTGCTATTATCTGTTTTTGATTACATGCATCCTAGTGAAACAGTCTAGGATTATATGAATCCTAGTGACATATTCCTTTTTTTTCCCTTAAAATAGTGAGCATTTATTGAAAGAATACTTGAACAATTTAAGATAACAAATGCAGTAAGCAAAAGAGCCATCATGAAGAGTCAGATGCTTTAATTTAGCAAGACTTGCAGCCCCATGATACACTATTACCCAGCTTTTTTCTCAGCGTCCCCCTTTCTCTCTTTTCTAGGGCCATTCTAATTCCCTTTCTACTTGCGGCTCTGCCTTCTGATTCCTGCCAGTTTACAACTTGTACTCCTTCATTGCTTTCTGCTTATATTCTACTCTTTCCTGCATCTCTTCAATTCTGTTTTGTTCTTAGTGACATACTCTTAATTCACTCAATTAATATTTTATTCAGTGCCGACTACGTGCCAGGCAATGTTCTAAACTACAGGGACCATTATCAAAGAAAAGAGACACATATATCTGCCCACGGACATGCAGTAAATAATCAACATAATAAGCTCATATCTAAGTTTCCAGATAAAATGTTATGCCTTTCTTTTGTGCTAATTAGCAGCCTGGGTTTTTCTTGCACAACAATTTTTACCTATATATCTGAGACTTGTGGTCCAGTTAAATTGAACACCTTTGATATGGCTATTTTCAGTCTGTTTGGAGATGAAAAACACTGTAAGACAAAGGAAAGAGTGATCAAAAGTGTCAGTAGAAAGGGAGGGACAGACTGAATAAAGCAATCAAATGAAGCCACATTGAGAAAGTGAGGTTTGAGAAGAACTAGAAGGTAAGTGAGTTAGTCCCAGAGATATCAGAGAGAAGAGAGCTGCAGGGAGAGGAAACAGTCAGTTCAAACGCCCCGAGGCAGGGATCTGGGTGCCAGGAAGAGCAGAGAAGCCTTTGGTGGCTGGATGAGAGTTAGCAAGAGAGAGGAGGTGGGAGTTAAGATTAGGAAGGCTGGAGGGCCACATCATGTAGGGCTTAGCAAGCTGCTGTTGCATGGGATGTATTTAAGCTCAACAATTATTCATTGTTTTTTCAATCTTTGGGCTGAACTGGGAATCCTGTTATTTTCCCTGGCAACCTTACTCATGGGCCATTGTAAGAATGTTGACCTTTTTTCTGAGGAGGTGAGGAACCACTGCAGGGTTTAAAACAGAGGAGAGACGCCATCCTACTCAGGTTTTTCAAGGGTCACTCTGGCTGCTGTGTTGAGAATAGGCCTTAGAGAGGAAACATGGAAGCAAGGAGGCCTGGGGGTTATTTGGGTAAACCAGATGAGTGACAGTAATGGCTCAAACCAGAGTGATAGCCTTGGAGGTGGTGAGAGGCGATCAGATTCTGGGTATATGTTGAAGATACAGCCAAAATAATTTCTTTTTAAAAATTTTTTGAAAATATTTTAATTGGTGGAAAATTGCTTTACAATTCTGTGTTGGTTTCTGCCATTCAACAATGTGAATCAGCCATAAATTATATATATATATATATGCACATATATATATAAATATATGTCCCTTTCAACCCTCCTCTCCTTTCACCCCACCCTCTAGGTCATCACAGGGCTCTAGGTTGGGCTCTATTATGTTATTTAGTAATTTCCCACTATCTATTTTATATACAATAGTGTATATATGGGCTTCCCTGGTGGCTCAGATGGTGAAGAATCTGCCCACAATTCAGAAGACCTGGGTTCAATCCCTGGGTCAGGAATGGCAACCCACTCCAGTATTCTTGCTTGGAGAATTCCATGGTGAGCTATAGTCCATGGGGTCACAAAGAATCAGACAAGACTGAGCGACTAACCCACCCACACACACACACACACACACACACACACACACACACACACACACAGTGTATATATGTCAGAGCTACTTTCTCAATTATTAGAGAAATGCAAATCAAAACTACAACAAGGTATCACTTCATACCAGTCAAAATGGCCATCACCAGAAAATCTACAAACAATAATTGCTGGAGAGGATGTGGAGAAAAGGGAACCCTCCTGCACTGTTAGTGGGAATGTAAACTGATACAGCCATTTTGGAAAACAGTATGGGGATTCCTTAAAAAGCTAGGAACAAATCTAACATGTGACCCAACAATCCCACTCGTGGGTATATACCGTGAGAAAACCACAATTCTAAAAGATACTTGTACCCCAGTGTTCATTGCAGCAATATTTACAATAATCAGGACATGGAAGCAATCTAGATGTCCATCAACAGAAGAAGGGATAAAAAAGTTGTGGTACATGTATACAATGGAATATTATTCAGCCATAAAAAGGAATGAATTTGAGTCAGTTGTAGTGAGGTAGATGAACCTAGAGCCTCTTAGAGAGTGAAGTAAGTCAGAAAGAGAAAAACAAGTATTGTATAATTAAAGCATATATATGGAATCTAGAAAAAATGGTATTCACGAACCTGGTAGAGAACAGATTTGTGAGCCCAGCAGACGAAGGTGTGGGTGGGGTGAATTGTAAAAGTACCAAATGAATTTCAACATGAATTGGATGTGACATTGAGACAGAGGATTCAAGGATGACTCTAGACTTCTGGCTTGAAAACTGAAAGACTGGAGTTGCCATGGAATGAAAAGAGGACTTGGGTGGAGCTCATCTGGGGGAGAGGATTGGATTTTTATTTGAAGCATGCTAAGTTGACGATAGGTCAAGTAAGACGAGGCATGACCATCAGCCAGCTAAATTTTATGGTATTTCCTGTAAAAATATCTAATAATATAATTTAAAAGGTCACACCTTCATTGGGGACAGACTTTTTTTGATTTGTGTACTTTGTATCTTATTGTTTAAAGGGTCGTCTTCATGCCTAAAGGGCCAAATGACTTTAAAAAAAAAATATGTTTAGGAAAAAAGTAGCCAGTGTTAGAATTCAATTTCCAGATTTCTTCTCCAGTATCCGAACTGCAAAACCAGACTGAATCCCAATATCCCATTTTACTTGGCAGCCTAATTCATTTTTCCATAGACGTTTTTCTTCATCTCCATTCATTTCCTTTCATCTACCCTTCAACCTTTGAGAGAAAAGCATCTTACTACCCAGATCCTCTCCTCAGTGTCCTTCCAGAAGCTAAAAAAATGTGCCCTGGAAATTGATCAGACCTTCCCCTCCCCAAAATGCCTGGAACACAGTAGTCTAAGGGTGGGACAAGCCTCTGAGTCCTTATTGCATTCAGAACACAGATCTCTGTGGACATTCTTTTGCCCTTCACAGATTACAAGTGGTTTTGAAGAAAGATGACTGTTAGCTGCCTCTTTTTCTCTTTTCACCCAAGTTTCTGGATAAAACAGCATTTTTTTTCTGCCCTGATTATTAGCAAGTGTGCTTTTTCTTGCACAATCATTTTGACTTCTTTTCCTTAGACTTGCAGTCCAGTTTATTATAATCTGAAAATTTTTACTTGGTTATGTTTTAAATTGTCTGCAAATTTTACATCTATAATAGAATGTAAAGTAGGACTGCACTTTTCCCAGGATCCACAGGGGAAAATGTTAGTTGGGAAGAAATGAAAAACTATGACATTTTTTCTGGAGGTCTTGTGTACTGCATTGTTTTTAATTATAACATTTTAAATTGTCATGCTCTTTTAGAAAATGTTTCTTCACAATAATGATTATGTTTTTATGCCAAAAGTGTGTGCTGAGTAAATGACACATTAGACACATTGTCTCTCCTGGTTTTTTTTTTGCAGGACTCGAGAGGGACAAGTTTGATAATAAAACAGTTTCTTTTGAGGAACACATCAAGTCAGAACACAATATGTGGCATTATTTGTACTTCCTAGTCCTGGTGAAGGTGAAAGACCCAACAGAATATACTGGACCTGAAAGTTACGTGGCTCAAATGATTGTGGTGAGTGAGGAGAGGGTTTGGATCTATGACTGTACTGCATTCTGTATGCTTCCAATTCACTGCCCTACCTTTCTCCCAGAATGCAAAGGTTCTAGCAGTCATTTTGTTAACTTTTAAATAGGACTGTCAGTCATTGAAGAACCCCTGTCCTGGCTAAATCATTGATTCTTAGTGGACGTCTTGATTATACAAACCAAATCTAAGCCTCAGATGTACAGATGGTATTTCCTGGAGAATTCTCTGTGCAGTGAATTCAGTCCTTTCTGTCATCTTCTGACCTCATGCTTTCTGTCATCACTAATATCTCAGTTCCCCAAATCTGGAACTTTCACATTGGCACATGATTCATACTTTAAGAAATGCCTTGAATTTCAGAAATCAAGCAGTTAAGCAGATAAAGAGTATTTGGGGAGGGGATAATGTTCAGCCCCAGTGGGAGAGCATTGACTTTTTGTCAGCACACATTTTGGATAGATTGACCAATGTTGGTGATGGATTTGCCCTGATCCTGCTGTCTGCAGTTGCTAGTGACTCCTCCTCATGATCAGTAGCATTGCACAGAGAGTAGGGTGGTTGTCCACAATTCGAAGTTTCTTCTGTTTCATAGAAAATTAAAATGAACTGGCTTAAAGAGAAGTCAGAGTTGCAAATTTCATGTATCCATAATATGCATTTTGTTGTTCAGTTGCTAAGTCGTGTCCAACTCTTTGCAGCCCCATAGACTGCAGCACACCAGGCTTCACTGTCCTTCACCATCTCCCAGAGTTTGCTCAAACTCATGTCCATTGAGTTAGTGAATATCATTGCATCTGATGCTGAAGCTGAAGCTCCAGTACTTTGGCCACCTGATGCGAAGAGCTGACTCATTGGAAAAGCCCCTGATGCTAGGAAAGATTGAAGGCAGGAGGAGAAGGGGATGACAGAGGATGAGATGGTCGGATGGCATCACTGACTCGATGGACATGAGTTTGAGCAAACTCTGGGAGATAGTGAAGGACAGGGAAGCCTGGTCTTCTGCAAGTCCATGAGGTCACAAAGAGTCAGACATGACTTAGTGACTGAACAATGACAAAGCTTTGCATCTGATATAAATTCTCATTTTCTTACAATAAACATGGCCATATATTGGATTTTGCCTCAAAAACCATCCTCTAAACTTGTGTTAACTATGAGAATGAGGCCTTTGAAGAGCCATGACCTTCTTTAATGTGAGTCCTAAGAATGTGTGATGCTCAATCACTTCAGTCGTGTTTGACTCCTTGTGACCCTGTGGACTGTAGCTGCCAGGCCCCTCTGTCCGCGGGATTCTCCAGGCAGGAATACTGGAGTGGGTTGCCATGCTCTCCTCCAGGGGATCTTCCTGACCCAGGGATCGAATCCTCATCTCTTGGATCAGCTGCATTGGCAGGTGGATTACTTACCACTAGCACCGCCTAGGAAGCCCTATCCCAAGGATAACATTTTAAACACCAGAGTGTCAGGAGAGCCAGGTAGCAGCGGGTCTGTATCTTCCCCTCTGGGAGCTTACATCCACTTAGGAAGGCATAAACTACAATATAAGGAACAACCAAAGAACATGTTCAGAGGCTAACATCTTACTAAGTACAAGTTAACATTGCACTGTTTTACCTTACCTGACAATATTTATGTGTCACAGGAGACCTCCATGTAAATTGACTTTTCTTTAATTCTGCATTTTTCATCCTATTTTATTATGGACATGCATCCTACTGTAAGTTATTTTCTCTCCATTTTTATATGACAGTGGGCAGAACCTAATATTGTTTCTTTTTCTCCATGTATCCTTTTCTGCCCTCTCTTCCTTCTAAATTAGGAAACAGGTTATCATTTTGAGAATAGGCACTCACAGTCATCATTTATTCTTCATCTCAAGATGCTCAGAGACTATTTGTGTGAAACATTTTGTTTCTGCTTGCCAGGGGAAAATCATGTAAGCATTCATTTAACATGTGACCTCAGGACTTGCCTGGTGGTCCAGCGGTTAAAGCTCCATGCTCCTAATGCAGGGCTCGTGGGTTCCATGCCTGGTTGGAGAACTACGATCCCGTATGCCTTGTGCTGTGGCCAATTTTTTTTTTTAATTTAGAAAAATAAGTAAATACAATGTGACCTCACACTGCTGTATTTTATCAAAGTTTGAGTTACATTTAATTAATATATATTTATCAGTCATCTATTATGTCCCTTGGACTAAAGATTTGGGGGAATACACTGAAGTCTGAAACATTCCTTAAAGCCAAAGAGTTTAGAGCTTCCTAAGAAGAGGAGGTGAATAATAAACCTAAAGTACAACAAACCAAGTTCCCTAAGAGTGGAACAGAGAAAAGTCTGAAGGCTTAACGATGTAGAGTGATAACCAACTGGAAGGTGGTGGAAGGGATCTGGGGTGTGTGTGTGTGTGTGTGTGTGTGTGTGTGTGTGTGTAATACATGAGACACGGTAGAGTTTGGGCAGATGAGGAATGTCTGCTGGATTAAGAGTGAGTTCTTATAAGAGGGAGCAGCCTAAAGAAAAGCCTCGAAATGGGACATTCAGACACTTGGGGATAGTTACTTGCCTGGTTTCACCAGCACATGGTTTACTTCTAAGGAAGTTCTGCAAGTTATGACCCAAAAAGTCAACTGGACTTTTGAGTAAGAGGTGTAGGTTTTGGTCATTATTTTCTTTCAGCAAAGAGAAGCCACAGAGGTTTTTCCCTAAGGGAATAAATGTGGCCCAGTAGTGTGTTCAGGCAGAGGTGCGTGGGCTGGTTTGGGGAAGGGAAAGTGAGAGGTGGTACTTGGCAATTGACAAGATTAGGAGGGGGTCGTGGAGGAGCAGGTGAAAGGCTGAGAGCTGAGCCAGGGACACCTGACACTGTGAGCCTGGTCCTTGGGAGAAAGGCAGCGAATGGGTTTCAGAAAGTCTCTGTGAGGAGGAGAGAACTAGTCAGAGAAGAAGACTTGTTGATCTTGAAACAAGACAGGAGGCTGAGTCATGGCTTGGGAGAGATGGTGTGCTGATAACAGCAGGAGTGTTACAGCCAGAAAGATCTGGACTAAAACCCTGACTCTAGCACGGATCTGCTGTGTGGTCTTGGGATCTTGGGTGAGTCTTGGAACCTCCCTGAGACTCTGCCTCCTCACCTGAGAGGCAGAAAATGGGTGTGAGATCAGTGAGATTATGTGTAAAAAGTGTCTTGCTCATGGTGGGTACTCAGTAATTGACAGTTTTCCCTGGGATAATCCACATGGAAAGACAGCTGGCGACATCAGGTTAGCAGGTGGCAGGAGAGAGGAGAAATATAAAGAGAGAAGAGAAAGCCAGAGACAAAACCTGGAAGATCGTGTCTTGAGGAAAAAGGAAGAAGACAAATAAAATAAGTAAAAAAGAAGACAATAAAAAGGGTAGAAGAAGCACCAGGGAGTGGAGTGTGTCAGAAGCCTAGAGATGAGCATTTTCAGTGTCAGAGTTCACAGCATCAGTTGTTGCAAAGAAGAGACAGGTCCAAGCCTTTGGATCTTGGGTAAGGAAATCCCCAGGTGACTGCCAAGAAACTGTTGACCCATCTTTAGCCTTCACATTAAGATCACCATTTTGCCGGGCTCTTGTCCTTGAATGTTTAAGCCTTACATTTCCGTGTGTCCATCCATCCTCTCCTCTCTCAAGGACCAGAACAAGAGGGAGGAGAACCACAAACTTATTCAACCATGAAATGTCTCATTCTCATCCAAGCAGAGCACGTCCAAGAGAATAGGCTCCAGTCCTAACTTTAATGGTCAGGAGAAGGAAGACTGATGTTAAGCTTAGGAAGGATGGAAACAGAGAGTCATTTGACTCTTAAGAGTGTTCATTTACCGAAATAGCCCTTTTGGAAAACTTCTGAAAATCTGTAGCTGACAAACCCGGTTTGGAAAATTATTACTTCAAGCTTCATGGAGATTATGGCCTCGTAATCTTGATCTACCAAGAGAGAGAAGATTTTAGAGCTCATGGCAAGTCGACACATGTCTGTAGCTCATTTCAAAGACTGTATTTTTCTCTTCCTCCAGGTCAAAGGTAATCACTCTTAACAGCTTGGTAGGAAACCCTCCACTTTCCTACCACTTCAATTTTTGGTCTTTAAAATTAGGTACATTTACCAGCTTGATTTAAATGCTTGTTTATCAATAGAGCTTTAGAAGAAGTTTTCACGTCTTCATCATGGACATAGGTTTTACCCTCAAGGATTTATGCAAAATAAAATAAGGAAGTTCCTCATATTTGTTCATGAAACAACTCATATGAATTCTACTATACTTTAAGTAAGCCCAATTTGAACCTAGGGGCCCTTAGCAAATGCTTCCTGTCTTCTGGTGAAATGAGAAAAATAAGAACATACCAAGTTTGGGGCTGTTTCTCCCCTCTGTGTATTTTTTCACCTCCAATCCATCAATTTTATGCTCAGGTAAAAATGAGTATCTGGTGGCTTCCCAGGTGGCACTAGTGGTAAAGAACCCGCCTACAAATGCAGGAGACATAAAAGACACAGGTTCGATCCCTGGATTGGGAAGATCCCCCGGAGGCGTGCATGGCAACCCACTCCAGTATTCTTGCCTGGAAAACCCCATGGACAGAGGAGCCTTCAGTCCAAAAGGTCACAAAGAGTCAGATAGGACTGAGGCAACTTGGCACGCACACAACACGCATAAAGAATATTTATACTCAAAAAAAAAAAAGAATATTTATACTCATATGCATTAAAGCATACATTGTAAATAAATTGATATATTGTTCCTAGGGGTTAGATTCTTAGAAAATACATTTGTGCCTCTACACCCACCCAGTGACAGGGTCAAACCTCTAAAATATTCATAGGAACTTAAAACTTCCTCACTCCTGCCTTCAGACCCTGCCTCAAGCTGTTTAACTATCCACTGTCTGAGTCTTTGAATTAACACAAAACTCTTTTGGGATATTGTTAGGGGAGATGTGAGTAGATTAAGGTATTTTGGGAATAG